CGACGTTAACTTGTCATCTACCAACAACCACCTAGTCTGTGATATCAGTTAGCTGGAAGCGAACATTAACTTGTCATCTACCAACAACCACCTAGTCTGTGATATCGTTTAGCTGAAAGCGAACGTTAACTTGTCATCTACCAACAACTAACTAGTCTGTGATATCGTTTAGCTGAAAGCGAACGTTAACTTGTCATCTACCAACAACCACCTAGTCTGTGATATCGTTTAGCTGAAAGCGAACGTTAACTTGTCATCTACCAACAACCACCTAGTTTGTGATATCGTTTAGCTGAAAGCGAACGTTAACTTGTCATCTACCAACAACTACCTAGTCTGTGATATCAGCATCCTCTGGAAGCGAACGTTAACTTGTCATCTACCAACCAACCAACCAGCTTGAAGTCCTCAAATCTGTTGGTTATTTATGCCAAGGCAACATTATAATATACTTACGTCTTAGAATGAACATAAAATTTAATTCTCAAGAATGGTCAATATGAGTACTTATTCATCGGTGAACGTACCTGGTGTCATAAAGTTACAGAATCCCTGTAAAATCTAGAAAATTGGAAAATTCATAAAATTAAGTAACTATAGAAGAATGCTTAATCATAATATTAAGCGTTTTTAAAAGTTAATTGCATTTGTATTAAGTTTTTGGATTTATCGGATTATATAAGGATCCTGTTATGTTATTTATGACATCAGGTATATCTACTGATGAATATATGCTCTTATTGGCCAATCATTCTAAGACGTAGTATAACCTTTAATAAGTGATTCATATTATCAAAAAGACAAAAACAAAAACCGCATATAATACTAATACTACTATAAGATAATTCTCTAATTTTACTCAAGATAATAAAATCACTTTCTCTAATAGTTCACCTACGGATTGAAATAAAAAGGGACCCGGCATGAAAATTCTATAAACTGAAGGAAGTAAATTGTTTGGTGAATACAGATATAATGGAAGAGAAGATTATCAGGTGGAATTATTCTGTATTCAGAGAGGAAATGATATTACCCGGGAAGGAAGAATGTTCTGATTTTCTGGTCATGTTTTCAATCTCTAGAAGAAAGACAGATAAAAACGTGCTCTAGTTTAATGTAAGTGCATCAAGGTGGATCTCAACTTAACTTTAAAAAAACTCGGTTTGATTTGATTTTATTTACTTGAGAAATCTCAGGCTTTTTTCACATTCGATATTTTGAAAAGATTCCGTA